AGTTCGAAAGGAAGTAAGAAGACTGGTGCTGTCACAAGCAGTACGGATCCGCGAACCCTTTCTGTTGTTTTAGAGTTTAAGAAGCATATTTTTGATCCGAAAAGACGATTTGTTCAATAAAACTGCCCCTTCCTCCTTATACCCCCATCGTCCACCCCTGAGCCAGGTCACTAAGTTAGTCTTTAAATTGCCCGCGCAGGAGTCGTTTGCCCGTTGCCTTCGCAAATACTTATTTTTTTCCGGTACACGTCTGTATTTTGAAGTTTTTTCTCAATAAATCAACTAAAGTTTGATAACCCTACCACCCTCCTTTCCTGTATATTTGGTCTTTATACACCGGTGCTAACTTCTATCGATCATGCAGCCTGGTCGTTCCTAATAACATGTTAATGATCGACTGTTTATTGCATAGTTATCGTCGTGTCGAGATGCGTATATTCCCCGGATACCGACTTTGCCCACTTTGCTGATATACCACCGATATCGACATGCCGAGGTAGAGTGACGTAGGCGAAAACCAGGTTGTCGCACTATGTATGCCAAACAAATATTTAAAGTACACCCCTTCCTTTTGATGTAACATACCATCCTTTACTTTCCCCGCCGTTTCCCGTAGTCATGTACCTCGTTTTACCGTGTAAAAGCCGTTGCTGAAGTCTTTGAGTTCAAACCCGAACCCATATATAGTCAGTGACCGATCTCATGAAATGTTAGTCTTCTGTCAGCCACTTGTGTCTGATCCACGCATCAGGTGACTGACCGGCTCGAGCGGTGGACTGGTTTCTGAAGAGAGGCCGAGAATGACTCCAAGGGCTCCATCGTCACTAAAAAAACAATCCGACGCGATTTCAAACTATCACGGTGCGTTAAGAGCCGTGGCTTGAAGGGCTGCCAACTGACGGAGTAGCTCGATCCCTTCTTAGGACAAAGAGTCAGGCTGCAATGGCTCCCTCTTAATGTGGTCTCTATGGCACTTCCAGTGGGTTCGGGATCATTACATATTCACCCAGTATGGTTCTTCGTGGACCCGGTTGATTTGTGCATCACGGTCCCCCCGAGAAGACATTCTGGAGAATGCATGCTTCCGGCAAATCGCCACAAAACCTACTGAATTCGCTCGGTAGTAGCTTACGTCCGACTGCGGTGAGACAATGGAAAGACTGTATAAGGTGTAACAAGGAGCGAGGTACAGGAGTGGACGCAGTTGACAGGTGTCGGCTCGTCGATGTGTGGCGGCCCGCAAGGTTTCAAAAAAGAACGACCGCAGCCCGTCTTGCAATCGGCCCTGAGCGGTGAACAGCACTCGTACGTGGGCCCAACGCAATCGGGACTGATTGCATGACCTCACCGAGTCTGTCCTCTAAATCGCAGTCCATTTTGTATGTAGCACACACAGACGTGCTCTCTCTCAGCTACTGCGTCCAATCTCGTCGCCACCAGGTTGACAGGTTCGGACAGTCGACTGGTGCACGGGAGGGGAGTGTGGCCGACCCCAGGACTCCCGCGGCAATCAGCACATATTCCTCCCTACAGACACTCTGGAGCGCTCTCAAACTATCAGGGTGTGCTAAAAGCCGTGGCTTGGAGGGCTGCCAACTGACGGTACAACTCGGTCCTTCTCACAGAAGGGGGGGTCCGGCTGCAATGGCTCCTTCTTAATGTGGGCACTTCCAGATGGCCGGAATCGGAGCGGCCCTACCACCCTGCTTCTGCTAAAACCTGTCTCGGGCGTGTGTGGCCCGCGTAGACGGGTTGTTTAGCTTTGACTGCCACCCCCGATCGTCCCGACCCAGTCTTGCCACGGTGCGGTAGGTGCTGCGCAAGTCACCGTTCTTGCGACCTAGAGCATGGCGGACACATGGTGGAGAGAATCGTTCGCAATGGTCGAATTACCTGTCTGGTCAACTCACTGACAGTAACTCGAGTACCCTCGCATGCCCATAGAGCACCCCGCCCACACCGTAGTGCTCGCAGGGGGGGGGGTAGTATTGGGAACGAGAGGAGAAGGGAGGAGGCGGAAAAGTGCAATATACACCTATATAATTGAGAACTTTAGGCAAAATTACTCGTAAAAATACAGCATCTCGCCGGCATCATGGGGCCATCGTTATTATCATCAACGTACTCGTTGTCATTGTCAGTGGTAATACCATCATCAGTTGTCGTGTTTGCGTGTGCCCGCGCGAGTGCAGTCGAGATAGCAGGGAAAAAACGACTGGAGGCAGGGACACACATAGTGGGGACACGACAAAACGGGATTGGTAAAAAAACGCACACATAGCACGCACGCAAAGATCGGCACCCAGGTGCGCACGCCCTAAACACAAGCGCCGGAGAAAAAATACGACCTTCAAACGTGGGGATGAAGACGGAACGATATTGTACAGAATTCTGAGAAAGTCAACACACACACACACACACACGCGTACACACGATCACAGAGGCAAAATCGGCCCCCCGAGGAAAGGCACAGTCAGGCGGCAATGTCTCCTGTTTTAGAATTGCGAAAATCCCCATAACTATATTCAGAAGAAAAGGTGGCGAGCGAGTGTTGCATTCGTTGGATTCAGGGCATCGTGTGGACCCCGCTGAAGCATTTCGTGGGATTTATAAGGTCCCCTGGAGCTACCCTAAACTACTGGGCCAACGCCTGTTAGCAACAGCAGAAGTGGCCGGCATCTGGATATAATGCAGTGTCGGAAGTGTAAGAGTTCATCGCTGTATACACTGTAGCATATTGAGTGTACAAAGCTAACTCACGAATGATGGTCTCGTTGGTCATAGGCGGAAGATTGTCTTGGACAGGAGAGAGGCGTTCGGATGGCAACACAGCTGGAGCTCTGCTCAATTTAGTTTGGATGGAGTTTGACCTGGAATTGCATGACTCCGTTTGGTTGACAAGTTTCTTCTCGACTCGCCACAGGGTGTAGGCAGCTGTGACACGATGAGAGACACAGAACTTTGTGACGGTGGAGTTCTGTCGTGTGCGGCGGTTGCATTCCCATCACGCAGGGCATGTCACCAATTTGTAGCGGCCAAGCGGTGCTGGTGTACGCTTAGTACGTCACAACTTCAGGCCATATCCCAAGTTGTTAGAAGCAGGACGCCATTTGGTTAGGACACTTTATTCTATACAGAATAGTGAAGGGGAAAGTTGACAACCGATGAGGAGTTTTATCGATTTTTTCACTCACCCTGTCCTATTTAACTGTGTCATCGAACGCAACGTTCGCTCGCTACCTTTTCTTCTGAATGTCTCCTGTCTTACTTTGGTCTCCATGACACACTCCCTCGATTGAGTTCCAGTTCCCCTTCGTCATTTCGTCCAGAGTGTGTAAGGCACGCGTAGAAGCGCTGCAAACTTCTGGCAGCCACTGTGCGCAATCGCGCCCCCGGTCGCCTAAACTCTGTCATGACACTGTGCTCAGTGGTCTAAAGAGTGGGGCTGCTGTGGATGCAGCGTAAGTCGCCGTCCACGCTGCGGGACACGCGCTGGACATGGTCGGTGACGACGTTTGCATTTTCGAGACCGTGGGGGAACAAGCATCAGGCACTAAAGAGTGTCTGTGTGTCGTAGTTTGCTCGTCAGGATGCCCCAACTGACGATGCTGGTCGCGTACCTAGTGGTTCGCGGGGTGCTGAGATCCTTCAATCTACGGATGAGACTCCTTGATCGCTCACCAGCGGAATTTCTATGTCGGTTTTATCTGCCGCCTTGTGGTATTCGTGCATCTGGTTCAGTCCGATCCCATCGAAACAAATCCTCAGCTGGAACAGGGCGGAAACATGTCAGGGCGCCATCAGACTTCGTCTTTAAATCAGCAGTATTGCCTGCTCTAGCCTGCTTTGTGTCTGTTACTTCGTAGAAACCGCGGCGCATTTCATGCCCAAGTTAAGTACGGTTCCCACGAAGACTATACTATGGACTGACTCCGGCATCTCACATTCCCAGTAAATCCTTTAAAATCGGGAAACTGTTCGTTTAAAGAAGCCTGTCTCACCCTGAAGTCTGTAGTAAAAGTATCCAGAGATAACCGAACCTTGGTGGGATGATCGACCTAAAGCGTAGTCTGCCTGCGCCAGGGTCTGTAGCCTGTTCTACGAGCGGTTTCAAACGGGCTGACCGAAACAACTGTAACATGTGTGCGATCGGCCAACCACAGCCGTCCACGCCCCGATTGGATACCAGACGTTGTGCCAGGCACCCTTAGCACAAGACCTGGCCTCACCTTCGACTATTGTCGCCTGGAAGAGGATCTCTGGATTCTGTACAGAATAAAGACCTCTATCTGGTGTCTTCTGTCTTAGTCTGTTCAGCAAGACTTGGATTGGTGATCATGAGCTCTAAGTAGACCTACTACACGATGCTTTTTCAGTCGCATGCCCGGAAGAAATCAGTCAGTATTTGAGTCAGCTGCTACGGTCACTTCAGCCTCAGATCACGATGAAAGCACTCTCAGCCAGACAACTGTTATGTTGCGTAGGAGATTTTTGGGAAAATGTGGTATACCCTCCGGTCGAAGACGAAGCCGACAACCACAACCACCCGTGAAACTTGCCACCTCCTACACCACGCACTAGCTCTATTGGTCACTCATTGGTGAATCGGTGTCCGGAGTCCAGCATATATCCACCTCCGCTGCTCACACTGCCTTAGGCCATTCAGACATCCCATGGGCCCATTCGGTCATATATCCATCCACAACCGTCTGAGGTAAAACACTGCAGTCCAAACCACATCACCGACACTCTGACCGCCGGTGGTGACGATGTCCACCGCGTGCTCCACAATAGGGTGGGAGCGGGACGGTGACTTGTGCGTGAATTAGTTTGTAATGATAGTAGACTTGTACAGCATCTACCGCACCCCCTCCTCCCCCACCTCGACCCCGTGTCAGGAGAGAGTCACGAAGACCGGGGGGCGGGGACGGGCGTAGGTGGATGTGACGGCCGAGCCTGAACCTTGGCTTTCCACTCCACACCCCCGGGCCCCACAGCAAATGACTAACAACATACCAGACGACATACCGCCTAAGTTATTGAAGGAGCTCGCTGCCGAACTAGCCAAACCATTGTCCGTGCTTTTCCAAGCCTCGTTCGAAGCCGGCTGCTTGCCCGCCGACTGGAAATCTGCGCGGATCACACCACTGCATAAAGAAGGCAGCAAGGCCTCTGCAAACAATTACAGGCCAGTTAGCCTCACCTCCATCTGCTGCAAACTCATGGAGAAAATAATCAAACGAGAGCTGATGCGCTTCCTAGAGCAGCATAATTTATTATCTGATGCGCAGCATGGGTTTCGTAGTGGCAGGTCTTGCGTGACCAACTTGCTCAACTGTTTGGAACATTGGACTCGGTCAGTTGATGAAGGCAATGCGCTGCATGTAGTCTATATCGACTTTAAAAAGGCATTTGATAGTGTCCCACATCAGCGACTCCTGCACAAACTGAGCCGAACAGGCGTTAGGGGTAACCTCTTAAAATGGATTCAAAGCTTCCTATTAGACCGTTGTCAAACTGTCCATGTCGGTGGCCAGAAGTCGACGGAGGTTGCCGTTGAAAGCGGTGTTCCCCAAGGCTCAGTTCTTGGTCCTACTTTGTTCATCATTTACGTTAACGATTGCGTGAGTGAACTGGATTGTGGTGTCGCCATGTTTGCGGATGACATTAAACTATGGCGCGTCATTCGAACTGCAGATGACGAAGAGCACCTGCAGGCGAACCTAAACCGACTCCAACAGTGGTCAAAGGCCTGGCTTCTGCCGTTCAACGGGAAAAAGTGCAATATTCTACGAGTCGGCAGAGCTCGCTCTCCGAACCATATGACCTACTGCCTAAATGGTATACCACTGCAAGAAGTGGACTCGCAGAAGGACTTGGGAGTATGGATTACGACCTCGCTCAAACACTCGCTGCACTGCACGAAGATAGCCAAGTCTGCAATGTCAGTCCTCTACCTTGTCAAGCCGGCTTTCTCTGCCTTTGATGAAGACTGCTTCGCTAAATTCTTTCGAACTTTTGTGCGTCCGCAACTAGAATTTGCTATCCAAACTTGGAGACCCTGGACCGCGAAGGACCTCAGCATCCTTGAAAGGGTCCAAAGGCGTGCAACGAAACTTGTGGCAGGACAGGGTTCGCTACCATATGCAACGCGGTTAGCTAACCTTGATCTCTTTCCCTTGAGTTACAGGCAGTTACGGGGTGACCTGATACAAGCCTTCCGTATCATACGCGTTCAGGACTTCAGCCTCGTACCGGGGGACTTCTTCGAGTTAGCAACCACCACAAATCTACGAGGCCATCCATTCAAACTACGTGTGACAGGGGCCAGACTGGACACACGAAAGTTCTTCTTCTCCAACAGAGTGCTAGAAGCCTGGAATGCCCTGCCTGTGGATGTCGTTATGTCTGCTTCCGTCGAGGTCTTTAAGAGGAAGCTGGATTTGTGTAGCAGTGTCCACTAAATTACCACCCCGATCTTTGTAACCTCGACAAATTCCGTTATTATAATACTACTTGCTATATTTCAGTAACATTTTAAATTGAATTTATTATCGTGACAACCCATCGTCTACGCTTACTGCCATGCACGTATGCAAATTTTGTCACCGGATATATTATTTATTTCGCCGCACTCGAAACGACAGCTCTACAACTGCTCGTACGACTAAAATTCGAGGCAGTTTGTTTGTCTGTACAGACCTGACTCTTTTCCGATTATTTGTTCCTTTTCGAGTTTTTGAGATTTTGCAGTTGCTTATAAACAAATAGGGAGTTCAAAGGTGAAGACCTACATTTCCCTCAATAAACTGAACTGAACTGAGCAACAATGAAGGGCAGGGATCCTAGTTTGCGCGACGTCTGCAGGCAGCCGGGTCTGCCACAGCACCCCGAAATGTTGGCATTTGTTATGGCGTACAAATCCGATAACGCCTGTAAGGACCCGATTTGGCCGCTGGGTTGGTCCAGCGCATCGGCCGCATGGCCCGTTTGGGGGGATACCCCCAGCACCACCCCTCGCCCCGCAAAACCACCCGCCTCTAGGTCGCCTGCACATCCACTACATGCACACGGCATGTTTATCGAACGTAAATGGGGAGCGCGCTCTTCGGAGCAACCTGGTGATCGAAAGTTCGGCCGCTGTGACCAACGATGTCAACCGTGTGCTCCGCAACAGAATAACATCAGGGACGGTGACCTGCGCGCGAAGGAGTTTATAGTGATCGTAAACTTGCGTAGCATCTACGGCATCCTCTCCACCAAGGAAGCCGGAGGCGCGGGAGGACGCAGGTTGCTGGCCCGACCGTATCTGCACCTAAGCTAACCACTTCACACCCCCTAATCTACAACAAACAGCTTTCCAGGGTTTCAACCAACAACAACAACAACAACAACGGAGGAATGGTAGGGATCTCAACCGAAACGAGGTAAGCCGGGAACTGGGTCAGAATCTCGACACTTATTATTGGATGTGCATTCGGCATAACACCCGTCAACTCCGATCTAACCCCCCTGTGTTGATCCAGCGCACCTGCTGCCTGACCATTGTAGGGGCAAATGCGGGCACGCAGATGTTCATTTTTCCATAGCAAGATCAACTTGACAAGTATTGTGTCGGCAATTTTGCCCTGGGTAAGTTGCTTACGACAGCTTGAGCACATTCAGGCAATCACAAGCGTTCACAATCTACGTAATTATCCAACCAATCCACGGGGCCGGCTCTGGCAAGACAGCGTGGGCTCGCAGTTTGCTGTTGGTCCAGGGTTCCAACAACAACAACAGCAAAGCTTCTACATAACAGTGGACTTATGGTTAAGGTACGCACACGATCCTAGCTACCACAAACACTTGGATCGTTGGCAATGCCTGCTTTGTTAAAAACGTAAGGTTTTTCATAGGGACAATATATATAATCATCATTTTAAACAGTTAATGAGGGGCAAGCTCAAATAGGCAGCCCAGCATACAGGCAGACTTTGTCGCAAATCGGTTTTCATTCCCTCCGCTGCCTTTATAGATGAACTGAACACAGTCATTCTTCAGAGCATCAAACCCGAACATCATCGTGTTTTCAGATCCATGTCCAGATTCCACGGGCTGTAGGCAGTAAGCTGGCTGTTGCAGCGGCAGTTCCTGCCATTCTACGAAGAAAACGGAAAATAAGGCTGGATGAGACGCTTTTTAAGGACATAAGGTGATACTACTTAAGTAGTCGACACGACCAGCATGTCCGCTAGGAAGGAACCTAGCGGCCCTCACTTAAAACATCCATTTTGCTTCAAGATGACACCCATTGATTGTAGCTTAAATTAATGGGCCTCTTCCCGGCCTCCTGCAGAAAATGCACTCGGTAAAAAATGACAGTTTATTTGTTATAAATTTTTCACATTGATTTTCGACAGCCTTATAAATGCAAGTACGTTTTGCGGAAAACATGTGTAAAAATACCCTTTCTTGTGCATATTCGATAGAAAGTCGCGGCGTCTCTTAATTAAGCACATGAAGATAGTATATAATCCTGTTTTTGAAGAATTCATAATTATGACGTTTTCTGAAACTCCTAAACTTCCATTCATACAGAATTGTATCTGAGCGTTTATTACCATTGTTCATGGAATATACAACTCGGTCCACAATCAATGCAAAATTGGATGAAAGTTATATGGCATCCTCTTAATTGCATCGAAAATCAATTTGAAAAGTGCATATTAAATAATTTACCCCTTTTTGTTTAGTCTAGCTAGTAGTATACCTAGAGAAAGGAGAGAGTGATAGGACGGATGAGGACTTCTTGCACTCCGCCGAGGACGAACACAGAGTCGGAGTGTCTCCATTCGTCTCTTGCAAGGTAGGCCTTATTTCCCAATTTCCTCTAGATCCAATGCATCTAATTTACTTGGGCGTAGTGAAACGCTTGCAAAGTTTGTGGGTTAGAAATCATCGTTCAAAGGACAGTGGTCGCACGACGCCTTCGGTACTGAAGGCAGTGCAGGTAAAGGCTATAGACGATAGGTTGCGTTCTTTAAACGCATGCCTTCCATCAGAATTTTCCCAAAAAGCTAGGTGTTTAAGTGAGTTCGAGTCCTGGAAGGCTACAGAGTTTAGGCAGTTTGTATTGTATCTAGGTCTTGTCGTTCTCCCGGGTATCCTGCCTCTTAATCATTATAAATTGTAGTTAATGCTTTTTACTGCCCTTAGATTGCTGTCCTCTCCTAAGACCTGCTACCGAAACGTAGGTTATTGTAGGCAGTTGTTATTACTGTTTTCGAGTCTATACAGTGACGAACACATGGTTTACAATGTGCATAGCCTTAGGCACATTGCGGACGATGTTGAGCGTCACGGTCCATTGGACTCATTTTCGTCTTTCCCTTTTGAAAGCTATTTAGGCAGATTGAAGAATTTGCTTAGAAGCCCCTTACGGCCTTTACAACAGGTAGCTAGGCGTTTAAGCGAGGAGGAGGAGGAGGTGGTGGTGGCTACGCGCGATACCTCAAGGCCTTCTTCACCTAGATTCCTTCATGAACATAATGCGGGACCAATACCTGCAGGCTATGAGGGCAGTCAGCAATATAAATGTCTAATCCCAGATAGATATCGTATTGACATTACCTCAGGCAATAGGTGCATAGAAATTGTCAATAGAATAGTATGTGTTAAAAACATACTATGTGATGCAGCCGGATGTATACGTTTAGTATTTCATGAATTAAGCAATATTTCAGATTACTTTGACTATCCTAAGAATTCCTCCCTTATGAAAGTTTATAAAGCTAGCATAGATAACAAGTTAGTCTGCTCACCATTACCGAATGACTACATTAAGTACGTATGCATTCCACAAGGTAATCACTACGTATTAATTGAAATTATATAGAGATTTAGGGAAGCCACTTACTATCCTTTTGCCTATGCAAACAGTGCTCGTGAACCCTACAAAAGCACAGTTCTTCTAGTTAGTGGTTTGCGAGCACTGCAGGGAAGTAGTGGCCATTATGCTAGCACTTAATTAACCATATTTCCTGTGCGTTTGTAGATACTAACATGAGCCAACTTCCGACACGACAACTGCCGGCCCGACAAAGGAGGTCCGCGATTGATGAGGCGATCTACCTGCTGGAAGGTGAAGGCATATCATCGCCAGTCAGTTATGGAAAATAACGCTGTTATACCTTTCAGGAGCCGCAGGTGAACGCCGATGATTCTTTCGACACCATCCCCCTCGGTGACGACACCTTAACAACAGTGCCGAAAGTCAATGGGCAGGAAGATATCCTGCTACTTATGTGCAAACACATGCGTGCACAGTCAATGAAACTAGACATTCTAGTGAAGACTGTCCGCAAATTACTCGGCCGTCAGCGGCTGTTAGAATCAATGATTCAACAGCATGCTAAAACCTCGGGACCGGGAACTTCTCAGCTGCCGAGGAACCCGCTCGACCACCAATTACGGTCCGGAGCCGAATTTCGCAATTTGAATGTCCGATTACTGGACAAGAGCTTCAGACTGGAGCTGGTATGCCACCATATTAATCACACCCTATTGCGTTAGACTTCCTTCCTAACAAGCCTTGGTGGGCAGAATATTGACGAATTCGTCAAGCGAATTTTCTTCGCAGTCTTCGACGATGAGATCAGCCTTTATGTCAATTTCAAAGGCAGAAAGACGAAAGAGAGCCTCTGCGGTTCTAAACTGTATGAGGTTATACTTGGTAGGTCTGCCGTTACTTACAACTATACAACATGCAGAAGTCTTCGGAGCGTGGAATACCGATTCCACCGTAAAGCTGTCTGACCTTGAGTCAGCACTTACCAAGCGGCTGAAAAGGTCGCTCGACAGTTGTGTCCAGCGGAGGAATAAGTCACAACTGACGCCCAATGACAGTGGTAAATTAATTGCCGTTTTCCAGTAATGGACTTTAATTTCTAGACAGTATACCCGAATTATCTACTGATTCCTCGCCTGCGTTACCTATGTGAACACAGAAGGGGTTCAGTAAACTATGGTACATATTAATTTAATTTTTTTTGATAAACAGATTACAATACAACCGTCTCCAGTGTACCTATGGGTAATCGGGGGGTAATAAACATACGACAAGGAATGGATGGGGGTAGAAAAGGGCATTGGGGTAAGCAAACGATTCCACGCGTAGCATAGTACCCCCCCCCCTTTTCGCCGATAGCGTAGTATCTCGATTAATCGATATCTAATAGATATCTATGTTTGCGTCAAAATAGATATCTAATCGATATATATATATATATCGATAAATAGATATCTAATAGATATCTACTCGATATAGTTTGCTACTAGGGAGATTTTATAGGCGACTGAAATGAAGCTCGTTTGAAAGCTGACATCCTGGCGGGGCTAATATATCTCGGGATTATGCTGCACGAAGGCCGACTTAGGTGAGCAATCCCTGCATGAAACAAGACTTCAGATGCCATTGGTGTTTCGGCAGTGCGTGACCACTGTCCAGAGGTGGCCTTCCCACAGAGCTTTTTGTCTGCAAACAAACAATTTTACAACTCTACTTAAGTTATCCTTTCTAATCGAAAATGCATTTTGAAATTTCGACTTTAAAAACAATCCTAATGGAGCCTGCTATCTAGTAAAAATCATTAATTGTACATGAAAGATGGAAGGGAATTTACCGGAACCCATACTGATGGAAAGACATGCTAGCAAGACGCAGTGGAAGGATGTCATGGTTGTTGTTCAGTCGGCCCTGCTCATCCACTTTTATATGCGCTGGTGATGTGAGGTGCCCTAGATATCTTCCGCGTCGAAAACCGATTGGGGAGCCGGTGTATTAACAACATTTATCCGGTCTCGCTCCACATCCGCGCAATATTTTCCCGCACAGTAGATCTCCCCCCCCCCCTTGAAATCAGTCTCCAATTGGCTGTCGATTAATGCGGTGCGGTAGCATGGAACTCATATTGCTTCCTTATTTTCAAGTAGCACACTTCTGAAGACTTCCTGATTGGATCGTTTGAAACCCTGATTATTCGACCGCGTTTGCAGCGCAGGGGAGAATCAGTAAGTCAATAATGATGAAGACCCACAGAGCTCCATTAACAAAAACTGACTTAAGATTTTGAAATCCCTTGGATGTGACTTAGCGCTTCAGTTGCGAGGCCCTGAAAAATAAGTGCACAATAGGTGGGCTAACTCATGAAGCGTTGGTCGAAATTTCAAAAAGCTGTTTCGTTTTGAAAAGTTTAATTCAGTAGGGTTGTAAAACTATATATTGGATAGCATAATTCTATAATAATTCAGTTATCGCCGGATATTGGCCTTCTAAAAAACTTCTCCCTGGCTACATCAAAAGACTATACTCCGTAAAAAATATCTGCTAAAGTAACATGCATTTTTCTCATTGATTTTCGATATCCTTAAAAATTCAATTATATTTCATGAAAAACACGCATAAAAACATTCGTCCTTTTACTCATTCAGGAGGAAGTTACGTTTTCTTCTAATTTTATACTCGAAGGAAGGGTGCAATTCTGTTTTGAAAAAGTTTCTAAATGTGAGACTTTTTGATACCATGAAATGGCCATTCATAAAACGTCACGTCTCTACATTTACCATTGTGGCTTGTAAAGTTTTCAATATGGATCAACTCTACTGCTAAATTGTATGAACCCCATCTGGTCTCCTATTAATACTTTAGAGAAATGCATGACTTTCCGTACGAGGAAGATCGATAGCTTGTAGTTTGGAAACCCTGAATGCAGGTGTGATGGCAGGTCGGGTTCCAAATTAGTTGGGAACTGGAAAAAATTCCAAAAACCAAATTGGGCACTTCCTTGGAGTATAAAATTGAAAGAAAACGTAATTTCCTACCAAATGAGCAAAAGAATAAATATTTTTATGCATGTTTTCCATGAAATATAATTGAATTTTTAAGAACGTCGAAAATCAATGATAAAAATGCATGCTGCTTAAGTGACTACTTTTTACAAAGTATATTTTTGCATGCGGCCGGAGAGAAGTTCATTCGAAAGCCGGCATCCTGAGATAACGGAATTATTATACACTTACGCCTTACAATGAGTAGTTTTACAACCCTACTTAATTATTCTTACTTAATTTCCTTTTGAAATTTCTACTGACATTTCATGCGGTTTCATTTCCACAATAAACGAAAATTAATGACTCAAATGCAACGCATGTGTCTTCAGCTGGAAAACTGTAGACTGGTTATTTGGAGAGTGGGGAAAGCGAATATGTGATTTGTAGGCAGCTCTGGGGTTGAAAAAGACGGAAACTTGCTGCGCAGTTTTCGAATCCACGCAGGCGTCAGAGTAAGAAATCCAGGGGTAGTTCAGTGTTGTAGTCGAAACGATAGTAAATCAAGGCAGGGATAAGTCGAATTTAGCGTTTGTTGAGGTTCCCGATGAAAGCTTTATCGACGGATGCATTGAGCTCGCGCACTCGTACTCAGACTTGCGCAGTCATTGCCAGAGTTTTAACCACAACCTCTGCTTAGATTGCGCCGGAAAATCAGACGACAGAACGGAGGAACGCCCCGCCCAAGTAATGAAGATGGATTTACGCGTAAATCTGGAAAAAGCGAAATATTCCTATGTCCTAACCCCAACAATTTCCATGATATAAAACAAAACGGTTGCCCTAATATTGACCCTAACTCTAGTCTAAACTGTTTTAGAGTTGCGTAGATTGCCATAGCAGTAATCAGAAGACGAGGTGGCGAGCATACGTAGCTTTCGACAAATTCTCGTCGGGCCAGTACATTTACCTGGGAAGGGAGTAGAAGTGAAAACACGTCAGTGATAAGATAAATCGATTAAAGTTCGCCTTAAAACACAGGCTGGGTGTGGGAATGTGGGGGAAAGGGGGGGGAGTAATAGCAGTCAGTGTCAGGGGCGGGGTGAGAGCGGAAGTGAGCGGGGGAGTTGTAGCGTTAGTCGACCTTCGACCACTGTAGGCGCGGTGCCTGAACGTGGTTCTTCTGTGCGCACAAGATTAGTTTTCGCAACCTGATGGCGGCCGCCTCTGCTGTTGCTAACAGACGCTGTCCCAGTGGTTTAGGATAGCTCGATGGGACCTTATAGATCACACGAACCGCTTCATTGGGGTCTACATGATGTCCGGAATCGACAACATGAGCGAGAATGGCGCTGCTTATGCCCCTTGTTTCGCCTTTTCTCAGCCATGTCGGGAGGTGTTCCCGTAAAAGTTTTGATCCGATGAGAATTTATCGAAAGCTACGTATGCTCGCTACCTCCTCTTCTAATCTTAACCTTGAATCTGCAGTTAACACTAGACATTAAGTTAACCCTAGACTTGATCCTGACTCACCTTCCCGTTGACTGAAGATCTTGCCTTAAACACAATCCCTAGCCTAACCCTAACCTTAACCCTAACTCTAATTCCATGGAAAGTTGGCTAGAATTGCAGGCAGTATTGCAGGCGGTTCCGGTTTTCATGTCCTGTAAAAGGGCCTTTCGTTGTGTAATGAGTCTCCCTTTTTCGCCTTAAACTGACAGTCCCTAAAGGTATGTGATCGAGAACCTAAATAGGTGTTAGGATTTTTTAAACGAAATGCACTTAAGAGCTTGGCGCTGTGCGGAAAGGATTACATTCAAAAACCGACACCCTGACGTGACTGAGACATATTAGGATTATACTATACAAAAAAGCAATGTTAAAACTCTACTTGGATGACATTTTTGAATCGAAAAAATATGTTTGAATTTTGGTTAGCATTTTATGAGATAGCACATTTATTGTAGTTATCGGACATCTGTATAGGCTGTCGAGCTGCGATGGGTCGAGAAATTAGGAGCCCCAAATCACAAATCCAAGTAAACAGATTAGGTTGGCCAACTTATTTGCATAGACAGAAGGCTGTTTTAGAGTTTCAAAATTTTCAGTGCAGTATCTAAAAGACAAGTTGGCGAACATATTTTGCTTTCGACGAATTCTCGTCAGGCCTGTACATTTACATGGCAACGTGGTCAAGTCAAACATGGCAGCGATTAGAGAAGTTGATCAAAGTTCGTATAAAAATATAGACGGGATGAGAACAGAAGGGTGCGTAGAGGTGCAAGTATGCAGTCGACTTTTGGCCATGGCAAATGCAGAGTCTGATCGAGGTCTTTCTTGCGCACAAGACTGGCCTTCGTAACCCGATTGCGACCACTTATGCTGTCACTAACATGCGCTAGCCCAGTAGCTCCGGGTTGCCTAAGGGGACCTTATAAATTACAAGAAAAACTTCGTTTGCGTCCACAGGAGTTTTACTATAACGAACTTATCGTGTTTAGAAATTGATTTTTTTGTTCGATACTAACCGTGGGAATCAACTTGCGAATAATCAAAAGAAGAGGTGGCGAGCATACGTAGCTTTCGATCAATTTTCTTCCGGCCAGCACACAGTTATATAGGAACGGGGTAGAAGTAAAACATGTCAGCGATAAGATAAATCGATAAAAGGTCTCCTTAAAACACAGGCGGGGTGTGGGACTATGGGGGGGGGAGTGATAGTAGTCATTGTCAGGAGCGGGGTGAGAGCGAAAGTGCGCGGGAGGAGTTGCACCGTTAGTTGACCTTCGACCACTGTAGGCGGGGCCCCTGAACGTGGTTCTTTTGTGTGCAGAAAATTGGCTTTCGTAGCCTAATGGCGGCCGCTTCCGCTGTCGCTAACGGGCGCTGGCCTAGTAGCTTGGGATAGCTCGATGGGACCCTATAAATCACACGAAAAGCTTCGTTGGGGTCCACATGATGTCCGGAATCGACAACATGCGCGAGAATGGCGCCGCTTATGCTCCTCGTTTCGCCTTTTCCCAACCACGCCGTGAGGTGTTCTCATATTCTCTTGGATAGGCGTCGACTCGTGCGACCAGTATAACCTGCCCCTTTGGGAAAAAGTAAAGGGGTGTATGCACACTGACGTAGTCTGATATGGCGATCCACCCGTCCCTTCTTCGTGTAAAATTGAGCTAGTAAAGAATAATATTAAAGCCCCTGCTGTTATGAGGTTTCGTAAGACAGCTTGCTGAAGGCGTCTGCTTAGGAGTTCACGCGCAGCGTCTCCTTGAAAAGGGACTTTTAGGTATGGGGTTTTATTTTCGCCAGTGTGGTGGTTTTTTTTCTAGGCAATATTCTTTACGATGAATCTGTCAGGATACCCTTTTTCGCGAAGTAAGCCCAGGATCTTTCGAAGCTTCCCTCAACACTGTCAGTCGAAATGGCAGTACCGAGAAAGACAAAGGAGACTGGAATGGCCATTTCTGGCTTATTAGCCGTCGTCAGCCAGTCATACCCAACCCCGAAGTGTGGAAAACCCGGGGCTTGAACTCGCGACCTGTTAGTTAGAAGTCCACGCCTCTAACCATTGCGCCACGAGCGCGTTGCCCTGTCGGTTTCGATCGGGAATATACAATGGTAGGGGGCGCTCACCGATTGTTCATACGGAACTCACTCGTTCCATTGTGCCTTATAGGCCCTCTCTCTCGCTCGATCCCAACCAGTAACCGCACAGCGGCGCATGGTATAGGCAGATTGGCATTACTGACAAAGACAGGGGAGACTGGAATGGCCATTTCTGGCTTATTAGCCGTCGTCAGCCAGTCATACCCAACCCCGAAGTGTGGAACACCTCGAGGTTAGAGGCGTGGACTTCTAACTAA